TGGTTTTTTGTTTGTTTCATTGTTTGGTTGTGTCTTCGTGTGTTTCTTTTTTTGTTGGCGTCATTGTTTGTTTGTGTGTGTTTTTTGTTTGTTTGTTTCTTTTGTTCGGTTGATTGCTTGTTGGTTGGTTGGTTGGATTCGTTTGTTTGTTTGTTTGTTTGTGTGGTTGGTTGGTTGCTTGCTTGCTTGCTTGGTTGGTTGGTTGGTTGGTTGGTTGTTTGTTTGGCTGTTTTTTTTTGTTTTTATTTTTTTGTTTTGTTTTGTTTTTTTTTGTTTGTTTGCTGTCTCTTTTGGCATGTATTGTTTGTATATTGTCGCGTAAGTTTTGTGGGTCTGGTTGTATTGTCCGGAAAGTTCGTATCCACTCTAGGTTGTCACCTAGGTTGCCAAGGGAGACCCAAGGAGATGAACGACACCGTTTGTTACATCAAATAGTTGTTCTAGAGTTTTGTTTGTAGAGAAACCATTAAACATTGGGTTTTAAGGCTTCATAGGTTGCGTCACGTAGGTCGCGGGGACTCGCAGCTTTTGCTGGAGATTGACCTGGACACGTTCACTGTGAGATCGGCGTCAGTATCCATCAGCTTCCTCGCCGGCTGCCCGCTGGGAGAGCTCATGAACCCCCAGAGCCAGAGGCTCTTTCGCCAGGCCGGTCAGATCCGACGCGTCGTCGCCTGTATGGGCGCCTAGGCTATTTATGCTGTGGCAAACTGAGCAAGCAGAAGGAACGGGAGTCCCGCAACAAAGACACCCCTTCAGAGGCCATTTCGTGGTTTGATAATGCTCTGCCCTCCGAAGTCATAGGCTTTGTAAAATGGTGTTTGCCACGAAGTTGGTGCCAAGAGTAAAGTTGGGATTTTTTAAGGTTTGTTAACCCTTGGTGAAAATGCATGTATTGTTCTTGAGGGTACCATGTTTGGGTAGTTCTGAAGAGCACTAACGAAGCAAAGTGTTTTGGGGTCAAGGCACACACCCATATTCAGAAGGCACCCTACAATCGCCACCTTGCGCGGCACTGCGCGGTCAGCCGCTTCACAAAATCTGACATGCGGAGCAACAATTTGGTTCACCAGGAAGGGCCGTCCGGGAAAACAACACAAGAGCCGCTTTGCCCTCTTTTGCATCACAGATGTCGGACCCAGTGGAGTCTCATGGCAAGTTCTGAGGCCACCCTTTGTTTTCCTTTTGGTCCCCCAACAGTGTTCCCTTCGTCATGGTATTTGGCGGGCGGCTCAAGTCTCAACAAATACATAAGTCGTATCACACGATTGTGTCGGTGGAAGCGGGCCCTCACAGCCATTCCGACCGCGTTGCTGGATTTGAGAGGGAGAGAGAGAGAGAGAGAGAGAGAGAGAGAGAGAGTGCGTCAATTATTCTACCACGGGTTCGGCTGAGGACACAGGTGCAACCTCTACTGCCTTACAAACCCTCTACCCCAGCTGGTTTAATACCGGTTGGCTTTACTGCTAGAGGTGTTCCAACCATCATGGAGAGGCGATGTGTATCCTGTTCATACCGATACAATCTCTTGAGCGGGTGCGCTTACCATTCGGCAGGTCTGTGTGTGTGTGGTGTCGACCGGGTGCGCCTGAGCACGTGTGCTTGCCATTATTCTTATCATCCGTGTGTCTGCGCTTGCGCGCGTGTGCTTTCCATTTGGCAGGCGTGTGTGCAGTGCTGAGCGGCTGCGCTTGAGTGCGTGCGCTTTGCATTTGGCAGGCGTGCGAGCAGTGCTGAGTTGGTGCACTTGAGCCGGCGCTCTCCATTTGGCAGAGGTGCGCTTGAGCGGGTGCACCAAACTATGGAAAGTACAGTACATTCACGAGTTCCCTTGTTGACTACTTGCCATATTTACGGTAGTCGTCATCCACCGTCTCTACCAGAAAACCAAGTCAGATCGACTTGGGTTGGCAAAAGCCCCCGTTCGCAGGTGAGGCCACAGCTTGCTGTCCTGGAGAGAGCTGGCCGACTGGGCGACATGGTGTTCAACTTTGGCTTTCTTGATCTGCATTTCGGTGCCTGGGCCTCCTTGGATGTTTGACTCACTCGGATCAAAGGTGAGGGACCACGGTTTGACTGAGTTCAGCTTTGGTAAGGATTTGAACGAATCAGGAGCCTTGCGAAATTTGTCAGCCAAACCATACCGGCGATGTCATGGCTTTTCCTGTTCTTGGCGAGCTCACCTGGGTGTAAAACGAACTCAATATGATGTAGGTTTTTTGAAAGGAACCCCTTACTTCAGATGTTTGATTTGTAAGATGCGCAGACAGTTGGCCTGACCCCTTGCGCGTTGTGCATTGGGAAGCAACGCCTTGCAAGCCGAGGTGCTGTCTCCGTGGAAATTGGCGGCGTGGCTGAGATCTTGCAAACTCAACGCGGGGAGTTGTCCTTGGTCATGCTGTTCACTCCGACCAGCACCAAGTCCTACAGAAAACTGGAAGTTATGAAAGCCAGGCATGCGACCGTCAATGTCTGGCCGGTGCACCTTTGAGAGGTGCTATTTCAATTGATCCAAGCTCGACTCGAAGAGACTTTGCTTGAAGTGCTGATTTATATAATTGGAAGCACCATGTTCTCCAGCAAACAAGGCAATTCCGGAACGGAAAACAAAAGGGGCTTTGGGCAGCTGCGCGCACAAAAAGAGTCTTGTCAGCATGGTTTACCCTTTGTGGGGTTACATCAGGGGAAGCCATAGGGAAGCCAATAGTTATTTCTGCCGTTCATTCAAGACACACATGGAGGTCCAGTCAACATTTGGGACATGGGACACTAGATTCTGATTTCAACTGCAAAAGCCAAGACCCGAATTTCCCAGGTCCACTAAGACTATGTGAGCACATATTTTGATCGTGTTTATGGCTCATATTAGTTGAGCATACTGAGCACCCCAGGAATATGTTGCAGTGGAATATGTTGATCAAGGATCTAACATCTAGCAGAAAACTTTAAAGGATGGGATTGGCCAGAAGATGAGCTTGAGCATCAGTGAAGGCTTGACAACCAGCAGGTTCCTCAAATCTGTGAACTTCAATCCTGTGAAAGTATTTCGGTCAAAGCTAGGAGCAGGGTTGCAAAAGGAGCCGTTTAAAGATGACACCTCGAAGATAGGGGTTTACATCTCTAGGGGTTGCTTCCCCATTCTTTTCAACCATCGTTCTTTTCAACAACCGGATCTGTTTCCCCTGAATTTTGAATTCTGGAAGGTTTCCTGAAAAGATTCGGATCCCTGGAAAGAATGGGAATGGAAGGTATCCCTACATCGCGTTTCCGGACGACTTCTTCGATCAGGACCTTGGTGGGAGCGTGGCCAGTGGCTGCATGGCCACAGCATCTTCTGGCCTGTTTGGAGAGGCGAATCGACGTTTCGGATCTGACTTGTTGGCTGTACTGTACTGTACTGCTATTGGCTTGGATCTTTAGACTTGAGAGCTTTTTGGATTCTCCTCATATTTCCTTTCAACCCGCAAGTTAAACTTTTGCTGGGGGATCTACTGCACCCTTTTGTTGGTTTCCCCTTTTTGCTTCTTGAGTTCCCAATTCGTGGCGCCAACTGTTGGCCTTCTATTCCTGGGTCCCGAAAAAGCAGAGCAACGAGCCTGGGTGAAATCACAACGAGCCTGGGTTGAAGTTCCCTTGGAGATGACTCCCTTTTTTTTCTGGTGGATTCACTTGCCCAGAAAGCTTGGATTCGTTTCGCCGCTTGAAAGTCGTAGTTGTAGAGGTTCCATTAAACCGGGCGGTACATCTGAAAACCAACCGGGAATGAGTAGTTTGGTGACTTATCCAGACCCCCCATTTAACACCCAGTGTAGCTAGGAATGATTTGTTGTACCGTGGATGGACAAAATCCATGCCGATCGCCGCCAGCAAGGATCGGCGGCTTGTCAAGCATTGTTTCGACAAATGTAAATCCATCCCACCTGTTGCGAACTGGATTATGTCCGTCCACAGTTGTTCGCATCATGACCAACTGAGAACTGTTACTGTGGATTCACTGGGTGGCAATGATACAATCCGCAATCCTTCTAGCTTTTCAGGGATTCACTGGTGGGGGGGAAATCCCAAATCAAGGGCCCTGCCCTTACATGCACCAGGAGTGTGGACGCAAGGGGTGCATTCTTCGCAGTTACTGTGGAAGCGTAGCCAAGTTCATTGATGATCATGGCAAGAGTGAAACTAAGTACCAGAGATGGGCCCTGTGTAAAACAAGTTCAAGCTATCTAACTTGACGGCTATTGGGTTGGATCTTTAGACTTTAACTTTTGGGAAATCAAGGGGTTTTCTACTAAACTTCCGAAAAGTCAAACTTTCTGCAGGGGGGTCAACAGCAACCAAGCTAAGAGGGAATTCCTCTACCCAGAACCACTATTCCAAAGTGACTTTCGTTCTAACCATTCTACAAGCACTATACCGAGCATAAAGACGCAAGTTTCCTTTGGGAAGTTGTTCGCGAGGTATACAATGGAAACGGTCCTACACGCCACATTGGTTCAAGCAGCCTCCTGTTGGTATCCCTTTCCACCAGCGCGGCGCATGCTATCTAGGAGCACGTTGGAAACCTAGACATTTACCCAGTTGTGTAGTTGGAAATATGAAGGTTACCTTGCTTTACTCTTGTTTTTGCCATTCCCGTGACTTTCTGGGAAACTGAGTGGGCTATGATTTTGAATGTGGAATACCCCCCCAAGTGTCAATTGGTTTGGTGAGATGTCCACCAAAGGGTCCCCAATGAACATTCATAGCCAGTTGCGGCAAGTAGAGTCACTATATAGCCAATAGCCTTTATGTTTGACCGGGGTCAAGCTTATGACGCAGGTATACATGAGCATATTGTGTTTATGGTGCAGGCAATGTGCAGGGAAAGCTGCTCATAGCTATGTTCCTGGCCATTTGGGGAGGTGGAAGTCCGTGCCATGTTAGGAGGCCCTCAGATTTGATGGTCCAGGCCTCTTGCAGCAGCTTGAACCCTGCCTTTGTTGGTTTCTTCGGGATGATCCCCTGGTTCCCCAGGGCGCTGAGTTGAGCAGACCCTTCCTTCAGTTGTTTGGGCTTTTACTTCCCAAAACAAGGTGGCCCGCATGGCATCCTCATGTTCCCAACCAGTTTGGGGGCAAGAAGTCCAAGTCTCCTGAAAGTTGAATCCCGGTCCTATGGTTTTATGTGGGATTCACCCTTCTTACCAACCAAACGGGGATCGCCATTCAGTGTCCATTTGCGTCTTCTTTTTGATGGTACCCTTTGTGGATGCTTTAAATGTCAAGCCAAACGGAAAGCCTGCCTTTTGGGGGTCCCTCAAAAAGCACCAAGTAAAATGGGATTAAAGGTACTTGCCAATTGTGAGCTATGAACACAGAATGCCAGTGCTGATTTTATCAGAATGGCCGGTGTGGGGTCAACGTGCAATGCTAATTTGAATCCATGATCTAGCGATTGCTAGCCTCTTATAATATGAACGCCTTCAGGGGCTGTGGCTTTGAAGCTTAGTGTTTCTCACAGGTTTTGGGGTTGTATAGCACGGCATCATAATCACGCTAGTGATTATTCGCTCGCCTGATGGACACAATCCTCAAACCACACCAGTTGGGACGGTTGAAATCCTTTGAATATTGGTTGCTCAAGCACCAATTCCACCTGGCATGGATTTTGTCCAACTGGCATTCTCTACAGCACAAGCCGTCCCGAAAATGGATGACCTACATGCCATTCAGCACGGTGAAAGGTTGCATGGATTTCGCAACCCACAGTATGACCAAACCTCAAGGGTAAAAAGATCATTTGATCCTTTGAAACCCTTTGAATGGCCGGTGTATGGAGCAAACAAGCAGAAGCTGTTCATGTACCAACGGGCAACCGAGCAAGATGGAGGTTTCTAATTTCCAGGGTCCCTCGCCAGATGGAACTGGATGAGTTGGTCGTGCCAGGATTCAAATCCTGGTGCCTTCCCAGCTCGGCCAAAGACACCTTCGAGACCATTTCCGCAGGGCCCTCAAGACACGGGGGACACGAGTTCAAGCGCTGGTCTCAACATGTGTCTCAAACCAGACCCTGACTATAAAGGCTGCTTGCTGTCATTTCAACCCAGTTAAGTAGTTTTGTCTGAGAACATGTGTTTCGACATTGTTTATTTGTGGCCCTTGAAATGCTTGCATGTCTAGGGGTTCCCTTTAAAGGGCTATTTGAGGTGACTCTTTAGGATGGCACTTGAATGGACCCAATTGAGCAGAACCGTTTTTTTCCCCGGCAGTAAAGGGACAAAAGGAGAGTGGACATATCAGGCCCCGTGTAGGCATATTCTGCAAGCGTATGGGCGCGCAAAAACCACTTTTTGACAGTCAGCTTGGGAGCTTCTTGCGTAGGCACGTGGTAGGCTCGACGTGACAGTTTACTCGTAGGGCTGCGCGCGAAAGAGCTTTAGCATAGAACTTTGAGAGGAAATTTTCAATTGCGTAGCCGCGCGTAGGCGGTTTAAGGCTAAGATACACCCCGTCTTGCACGGTATTTCCACATGGCGTAGGCGCCGGCATCGGCGTCTAATACGTCACTAGCATTACCTTCCCCAACAAATTATGCTCATGCATTTTGTAAGTATATTCTAATCATGAAAGTAAACTGGAAGAAATGAGGTTAGCTCCCTCAGAACCTTGGTTGTAGTCTACGTCCCGAAAGTTAGGTGGTTTCGGAACAGCGGCCTCGAAAGGACGTCTTTGAACGTCCTACTTTCGCGAAGATGTGGCTGGGCTTCAAACATCTGTGTGAAGATGTGGTGTGTGGTGGGAGTGTTATACTTTCTGAGCAGATGTGGCTCATCAAAACAGGACCACTGTTTACGTCGCGGGGGAAGGCATTGCAGAGGCTGTTTTGGATGTTCGGCCTGGAGAGGCTGGTTTGGGCATAATTTGACTTGGCGTTCTCAGATTTTATCACTTGCTAAGTCCTGTCTGGGTGTACGTAGGGCATTTGTTTGGACATGTTGCTGGGACCTGTTGGACTTGCATCCACTTTCTGTGAAGAGCATTGAGACTTGATACTCTGTTTGGTCAATGTGCTGCGTGTTCGTCGTCATTGCTTCTTAAGAGGATGTTGTTGGACGTCGTAGTGTTCGTGAATATGCTTTTGTGGGAACATCGGACGTGATGTTTTTGGAAAGACATGCCATTTGGGACTTTCTACTTTCTGGGAGGACCTTGAACATTGTAAGCCGCTGCTTTAACTTTAAGTTTGTGTGTGTGTGTGTCTGTGCATGCGTGTAGGGGTGTGTGCGTGTGTGTGTGTGTGTGAGCGAGAGAGGGAAAAAGAGGATGCTGTTGCACTTTTTGCTTCTTCGCCGATGGTTTTAGGTATTTATATGGTTCTTACACTGATTGAGAAGCCGATCTTGGAGTTTATACTGTTCTTGGGCAAGACGTTGTGGAGTTTCACAACATGAAGTTTGGCACCTTTTTGCCAATGCACGCAGTGCGACTGGGACTGCAAAGCCCCACTGCTTCACCGTAAGCAGTATTCGCATGTCGCGTGCCCGGGATCATGCTTTTGTTCGCGGTCATTCGAGCATGTGTGGTTCGACACTCCTCTAGAGCAGGAAATGCAAGGAGCACCATCCCTATTCTTCCCCAGAATTAGCTCTCCTCTCTCTTTTTTTTCTTTTTGTGGGTCCCTGTGTTTTCCACTGATATCTTTTGCGGGGGTCCTAATTTCAGCCTAGTTTTATTTTGAAGCTTTTGCTTGCAGCGATTTCTGCGACCTGATTATTCTTCCGTGGATTTTGGTTAGGCGAGCGCCTGGCTTTGTGGGATGGCCCTGGCCCGGTGCTCGGTCCGAGTCTGCCCTTTGGGCGGTGTAAGGGGGGTTGCGCCTGGTAGGGGTGACATTTTGAGCGGGAGAACAGCGGGAACGGTTCCGTTTTAGTTTTGCGTGGAAGGAGTTTGGCACAAAAACGTTGCGGGATGAGCGTCGCTGTGTTTGGCGCGGGCGAGCGGTTGAACGGCATGTTCAGGCAAGCAGCTTCGGGTGTAGGAATAGATGCGTATATGTCAGCCATACATAGCGGTCATGAAGGACAGCATGGTCTTGTCACACGTACACTAGATTCGATGTAATTAGTGTAATGTTGTTGCAGGGTGCTCTAACGAATCATTATCGAACACAGAAAAGTGGCAGAAGCATTGAGCATTCATGATGATGAACGGATTTTGCTCAAGTCAAAGCAGAATGCCGCAGGCATCTGGCATGTTATGAAGCTACATGATCAAAGTGCTGTGCTCGCCCGCTGAACAAACATGTCACAGCAGCTCTGCGAAGGGTTGGATTCTATGTGTAGTCCTCAGGGTAATGTGTTTCGAGACATGTGCACAAGACAACAAGATGGACACACCTCTGACACGAGAAATTATCGGATGAGTTTTCCAGTTTGATTCACCGGCACAGAGAAAACCTCATCAGACTTGGGACTAGAGCATGTGCCAGGCTTTCAGATCCCGAATCGGGCTTTGGCTCTGCTCAGCTGACTCTCTTTTTTCACGCTTGAAGGACCGTCTTCTTACAAGTTAACAGGCTCAGGTTTTGTGTGAAAGGTAATTGGAGAGTGTAGTCCACGGGATCTATGCTGCCATTTGATTTCTTGTCGATTTCAGCCCATGGTGTTTGGCCAATCCCAAAGGGTTTGCACCGAAGGGCTCTTGTGTAGGCCTGACATCATATGCTTTCATCTTTGGGCTTCCTCAGAGCAAGTCTCTACAGAGCGTTTGTGTTGGGGACTGCCCGGCATAATGCGACTTCGTTCCAAATGATTCCCGCCATCGCACGTTTTCCTGGCCCTGCTTTGTCTTTGCTTTGCTTCATGATTTGTTAGATAGGCACGCATCACTTTCCAAACCTGGTATTACAAGTAAACCAACCACACGACAAAGCCATTTGAAAGTAAACCAGAGGGGTCCCCCTGCCATTTGGGCATCCGTTGCGCCACATCCAGGGGTGTGTCTCCAAGAAAAACCGTTTTTGTTCATCCAAAGGCTTCTTGGAGATCTACAGATTTTCATGTTCTCAAGATCCAAGCATCCCCCTGACAATTTGTCGGTACCTACCAACTTCCATTTGCTTGAGGATCTCTTTAATTTGTTCCCTTGGTTTTAAACGGAAGCTACCACTACTGGAAACCTGTTTTTTTGTTTGCCCCATGCGGCTGAAGCAAACGAAAGCGAGTTGGGCCCGGGAAAGGGAGATCTCTTCGCCTCGATTGCCCAGTGGAGCACCACTTCTTCATGGCCCAGGAGGGCCCTCGCCTGAAATGAAAACTGCTCGGATGAACCTGAAGTCTTCAAGGGACCGTTTCCCCGTTCTGAAAATCCCCTTTGGGTTGCCAAGCTGATTTGATTTTTGCTTTGGCGATGTTGGAGGGGGAACAGCTTGATGCGTGCCTTTGGTGACATGGTGCCTCTTGCCACCTTGTAAAGGGGATACCAATCATTGCCACTACTTTTGACAACCCCCATGAGAGGGCTTGCTTGATTGTGTGTCTGTTGTGGCGGGTCTTTGTGTTTTGTTGCTGCCCATCTCCATTCCAGGCCCCCTCCCAAGCGTGGGACTCACCGAGGGTCCCGTTTCTGGAGCCCTGTGGACAAAAAGCAGCGACAGGACCCGCCGGAAAGCGAGAACTCCTCGCGCGACGTGGTCCTGTCCGGCGACTTAGCCGAAGACTCGCATGCATTTCTTTGGCACCTGTCCTGTGCTCCACTAGTGAACATACATCCAGACTGGATGCAACCAGACTGAATGCTGGAAGAACATGCGCCTCTGAAATGGCGGATTGGAGGCTAGAACTAACTGGCTTGTTCTTTGCTGTCTATGTTCTCTTCTTGAACTGCCCTGAAAAGAGTATAATGCATTGGGGGCAAGTACACATTTCTCACATTTCCTAATTTTGAGGGTTTGCCACAATCTGACATGTGCGTGGTTTTTTGTTTCCCCCCCGTGACATACCCATTTCATGCTCCTAGGGGGTATGCGCGGAACAAACGTTTCAGTTTAGCTGAGGAACTCCCATGAGGCAAATTCGACACCCCCTAAGCGTTCCTTGGTACCTTAGGATATAATTTGACCAATTCCTTCTTGACTCGCAAAGCACGTACGTCCCGACAAGGTAATGTTGACCTACGATTAATAAATATACCATAAATAATGCCAACTGACTGCCCGAATGAAATAATAAATATACCATAGATAATGCTAACCGTGTTTTTTTTCCCAAGTGAAACAATATGAAAAGATGACAAACAAATAAGCTAATTAACAAAAACTTAACCTTCCCCCCCGCCTAAATGAATGAATCCTCAGTTCACCAGCTCACAAAAGAACTCTAGAATTCCCATTGGGATCCATGCAAAATGCAGAGTTTTATTCAGGGTCAGTGCTCCCAACCCTCATCCCCCACGAGATTTGCATTATCTTTATTCATGGCCAAGCTTGGCTCATCCCACACTTGATTTTAGATTTATCCCATTCCACAAATTTACGGGATCCCTTTCTTTTAAAATTCCTTTAAAAAACCATCAAAATCAACACATTGACCCTGGCAGCAAGGGTGTCCCCCATGAACCCTGATGCACGAAAGAAGAAACCGACCCTGAATAATGCTAACCACATTCCCCCATCCAAAAAATGCAAAAGTTGTTGGCCCAATACTACTTTAGAATTGGCGCAAAACTACCCCAAACAAAATAAAACAAAATCATTCCCAATGCTACTTTTGAATTGGCCCAATTCAAATCGAGTATTCGAAAACCAACAAAAAACAGCCCAATACTAAACTCCTTTAAACAAAGCCCGACCCTGAACATTCTCCCCTAATCTTTAGTTAGGGTCATTCAGGAGGGGGGGGCCCATTTATTAATCATAGGTCAACATTACCAAAATATTATTTGGGCACTGTATATAAGAGGGTGCCTTTTTTTGAGGGAACATGTTATCCGGAATGTTTTATATGTAAACCAACCGACTCCATTTTTTTAAGGAATGTTTTATATGGAATCCAACCGAAAAACCGAAGCCATTGGTGGGACTCTCTGCGCCATCGAGGTTGCCTGTGCCTGCCCACCCAGCGCAGGCGAGAAGTCGAGAACTCGGGGTTTCGTCGGTGAAGCTTCAGCTTGGGTCCCTGAAAGGATGTCTGAGCGGTTCTCGACATGGGATTCAGACTCTGCTTGGCTATAGAAAAAGGAAGCCTGAAGGGAAAGCAGGCACCAGGGAAAGCAGCCACGATCCACTATAGCGAAACAAACGTCACATATTTGGGACCCGTATTAAATGATGCTTCTTGATTTTGGAAGTTAGCAAGGCTCCGCTTCACTTTTCTCTGCAGATTGATGGTTCTTTGGTTCTGTTCATGGTTGGCGGGGGGCTGCAACAAACAACGTTTCATAAGTCAATGTCCTTGACAGCGTCTGGTTACCTGGTTGAAGGATGGACTGGTCTGCATCTCATTTACAAGCAATAGTGGATGAGATGAGGAAGACCCAAGGAACGGTCAGAAGCGATGAACAACCTTCCCCAATTCTAGGGGATTCCTCCAAGAGGGGGTCAAACCATAAAGCCTTTCGGGCCTTTGTTGTGCGGTGCCCTCTTGTTAGTTTGTTGCCCGGCAAACGAACAAGCATACATGTGGCTTTCATATTATGTCAGACTGGAGCTTACCCAGCGCATGTTTTCTTTCTAGGGGTTGATTCCCCATTATTTTCAACCATCGTTCTTGTCAAAACCAGCTGTTTCCCTTGGGTTCTGATGGTTTTCTGAAAAGAAGGATCCCTGGAAAGAATGGGGAAGCATGCCCCAGATTCTTGCCTTCAAGGCACCGTGTTGGTTTTGGCAAGGGCCATCGGCCAAGTCATACAGGACATTGTCCGGTTTGGCAGTTTGCAGTGTTCAACAGACAAGGCCGTTGTTGGCAATTGCTACTGTGGGTGGACAAGGTGATGCTTCACTTTGAAACCATGGGGAACCATTGTTTCTTGGTATTTACAGGGCGGGAATCATCATTCCAGGGTTTGATGGGAGGTTTTTGTCTATCCACAGTATGTTGTTTGCATGCTTGGATTTGATGTCTTTGCTTTCTTTTTTGTGAAGTGGGCACAGGATCAAGTTTTTCTGACCAAGCAGTGAGAGATGTTTGCCCAAAGAGGACTTGACCAGGAACCGTTGAGACTTATGCAACTGGGCTGGTCAAAGGTAGTCCTAAATCCTTACCTATGGTTCTGGAGCTTGGCTGCCATAGACATCGAAACCCCCTGCCCATAGAACCCTTTGATAACCCCTTCTAAGGAGATTCTAAGAGTCTTTCCTAGGGGGGATGGGGTTGCTTTGGTGTTTGTTTTATGGGTGTTAGATAGCTTGTTGTTCAACAGTTCGATTCCCTATTTTCGTCCCATTTGTGGCCCGCTTTTTGTGGGAATTGGGCAGTTCTTTAAGCTGGATCCCTAAGCATTGAGAGGAGGGTATGGGTAGGATATTTTCATTTGCCCCCTAGAGGAGCCTGCGGATGGATGATATGTTGGTTTCCCAGACCTATTTCCAAGATATCTGGAAGTTGAAGCGCGCGTTGATGGTGAGATCCCCACAGAAAAGCAGAATCAACCTAAAAAGGCGCAAGTGGGCTTATGACTTACCTCCGCATGATTGGGGTCAATGTGAGGCAGGGCTACGAGAATCAGTAAACTGTCCAACTTCTTTAATACCAGGAACCCTCCCCATCCAAGAACAGAATGAAGGATGAGGCATCGTCAAGGCTTCCCAATAGTATCGCAGAGTTGGACCAGCACCTCCAACCACCCTGATGTCAGACGTGCTCCCTGGGCGTTACCCGGGTATGTGTCAAAATTCAAGTACCCCAAAAAGGGGCTTCCAAACCCAATGAAAAAGGGGTCCCACCCATATTGATGTGCAGTGTAGAGCGTGGCATGAGACGTTGCCCTCGACATCTTGGGCTCAAGCATCCGACAAAGATAGCCTCGAAAGCATTTGCACAACCGAAGAGAGACTTGTTCGACCCCCCACCCTGGGAATTGTTTTCAAATCGGTTTGCATTCTTAGGTTAACTGAATATAGGCCAGCATCGGAGATTGTTTTTGATTGGGCAAGAGCTGAGCCACTCCTCAGTAAGCCGCAGAACAAGATGCACAAGGTGCAGCGTGCCGTTCCCGAGGCAACCTGTCCAAGAGCATTCAAAACACTGAACAAGCTCGGATGTCACAACTATGTACACAGGGCGGTGCCCAAAACCGCGATTCTCACGGGCCTGTTGTTGAGCGTAGAGCGGGCGCTGCTCACATGTTGATAAGATTTAAGCTGGGACTTCAGTGACAATAGCCATCGCCTGCAACGCACACTAACACAGAGAGGCTGCATAGACGTTGGCTGGGCCAACTTCTACAGGCACGAACACGCAAAGCGACTCTTCAACCATGAACCGATCCTGCAATTGAGATAAGAAGACGCCATCCATTGTCTTTATCAGGGAGTAATGATATCACTCATCAAGCATTCAATTACTATCTCTGACGTTTCATGGTTTGCAGCCTGCGTTGGTGTATGTTGGTCCTTCATGGGAAGCTGTGGACGTTGCACGCCCCATTTGCCCTGGCCATGCAGTCACTGCTTTAACCAAGAGCAATGCTAATCATTCCGGGTTAATTGTCACACCAGGAGCGAACTGTTTTCATGATATCCCCAGTACGGTATCCCTTTCACTTCACCCCCAGCCCTTTCCACTCAAAACCTCAACGGCTTCTGCTTGCCTTTGCGCAATGGTGGAGGATCAGGCAGATGAAATAGTTCGGTGTGTCGCTGTGTGTTTGTGTCTCAAAGCTGGGTTTTAGATAGCCCATATTGCTTAATTCACCCAAAGGAACAACCAAAAGTGGATGGGTATGTTTTTGAACACCCCCTACTTTGGCCCCTACTTTGGCACCCAGAACAGCAGGAGCCTTGTTCACCTTGCCCAGCTGTTCAGTGGCATTCCCTTGTGGCTTCCTTCCGATCCCCAAAAAAGGTCTTCTTCGGTTGCACGAACTGGGCACCAGAGAGACGTTCCAGGGTTGTGGGATTACTTGGAGTGTATCCAACCACTGCGCTACTTGCGGGAATCTCCCCCTTTCTATGGGGGGTTAGTCTTTGGGAAGCCCTTTTTGGTGTATCACGGAAGTCGTCATTTCCCACAGCCCTGAGAGGCTACATTTGTGAGGTACTTGCACGGTATCTTAGTTCGTTCCCTGTTACCACAATAAGCATCATTTAGATATGGGTCAAAATCAAGCCACCAGGCCACCAGGGGTCAAAAAGTTTTACTCCTTGTTTCCATTTACCGGGGTTCCCTTGTGGGTGCCTATGTTTGACCCACACCCATTTGCTCATGACAGAAATGATTGCACATGATCGTGATATATATATATATATACATGAGTGGGTATTTCTTGAAATAGGGGACTCCTTTTCTAATGGTTTTAAGGGAAGCAAGTCACACCGCCTTCTCTTGGAGGAATCGGTCCGAATCCAATTTTGAGAAACGCCCATCATATATATATATATATGCATACATGAATGATTCAACAAGCCTATCGGCTGTCACCAATTTGTGCATAAGAGTTGCACATGGGCTCTCCAGACGTATGAGCTTCACGGTTGCCATGTGGTTGAGTGCTTCTTGTTGAGATTTTCACCGGGATGGTTCATTTTGATCAGCTGTGACAGTCAATCACGTAACGCTTGATTGGTGGCTTGGATTGGAGGTTTAAGGGATTGAACACTTGTAGAATGTTGAAGGCAGTATTGTTGGACGGTTCTGGCCTGGAAAACCCAACAAAGTCCCAAGCCTAGGAGGTCATGCTGTCATGAGATTTGAGTGATTGAGCTATGCCGTGTCCCTGCTCCGCCTTTCGCAGATGCGAGCTTCGTGTGGGTGCCATCCAACCAGGCGATGGCCATCCCACCAGCTGCATTTAGCTGGACTCTCCCGGCTTGCCCCGGCTTGCGCGCGAAACAAAAACTCCTCGAGGCCGAGTCTGGGATGGCAGGCGTTTAAGCGGCGGCCTGCGCGTGTTCTTGTGCTCCGCGAAAACTTGGCCGCAACTCCACGCTTCTCTTTCCGGGCGTTGGGTGTCTTTGAAAGGCGGGCGCGTTTGGCCGCGCCCTTGGACAGTCCAGGCCTGCTGACCGTACAGTTTTGTCTGAACAGAAAGAGGGGCCAAGTTGGCATCCAGGATTCAAGGCCGCCTTTGTGCGAAGGTTTTAGAGTCACTTGCTGCCAGCGGCCACCAGAACCTGTTTATGCATACGCCTTGAGGGCCTTGGCTAGAAGTCTGGAGCGTGCAGGTAGAAAGGAAACTCGATTGAAGCCGGGTACCTTCTATTGGCTGGGGGAAGGGTAAACATAGCTTGTTCAAGCCACTTGGTGGGCTATAGTCAAGGCTATAAGCGGCAAACTCAAGTTGCCATTCATGTAGCCAGGGGTTGTAATTAATTATCTAATGAGCGGCATGAAGAGATGGGCAATTGCAACAGCAGTCGAAGACTACATCACCCAGTAGCATGGACACCCTCCAATCCCGTTCTATCACGTGCCCCAAGCGAATCGGCCTTTTCACCTTTTGGCGTCCCCCTTTTTGCAACCGCTCAAAAGCTGAACCTTCTATTTGTGGGTCCGAAGCTGTGCATTTGGCTTTGGGTCCAAACCAATGGGATCCCATTTTTGTTGGTAGGTGAATTCTCACCACCCATTTTAGGCTTCCTATTTGAGTGGTTGGATTGGGTCCCGTTCACTGGCTAACCGATTTGGATTTTGACCCATGGGCATTTAAGCACAGCCCCTTGGACTTGGCCGCAGGAGGTGCCGGAGAGCAAGGAGGAGTTCTTGAAGGAGTTTTTCAAGACCTTTAAGGCCCCGAGTTAAACCCATCGGCCAAACGCTAGCGATGGCTTTCACGGCTTGTGCCCAAAGTGGATGCGATGTATTTTCAATTTCTGGACAATATCGTGTCAGCAAAACAATGAATACCCTGCGATGTCTTTGGATCTTAAACTTTTTGAAAAGAGATGATCCTGTGAGCAAAACAATGA